TCCACATAATCATATTCACGAATCAAAGTCTGAAAAACTAAGGCAGAAGCTATAAGAAAACACCAGCATGTTAACATAATCATAATCCAAACTCAAATTCAATAAAACCAGGGACAAAATATGAAGAAAAGGATGATTTACACAGAGACTCTGGAAAATGTACAAGGAGAATAAGACCGGGTGTTCCAGTAGAGTTAGCAACAATATCAACTATGTTAAATCTTGTTCAATCCAAGTAAGTAATTCAACGTTCTCAAATGAGAACAAGATATAAAACCAACGGGCAATGTAAAGAGCATCAAACACGTCCAGCATCAAATCGCGTAAAGAAAAAAAAAACTTAAAAAATACATTTCTTTTAACCTCGATATATTGTTTTAAGAATGAATATGTAACAGTAGAACAACGTAATAAACATTTGGTCGACGATAGATACATTGCATGTACCTTATTGTCTTAAGACTTGGAATTACTAGTTTTGCTAAATAGATAAAACGTATCCACATGCCTTTGTCAGATATTGTCATGCAACCGTTTTAAACTAACAAAAATATTTTTACTCAAAACTTGATAATAGCTTCATATCAAAACATCTTACATTGATACATTTTATTACTCTAACGTGTATCATTTAATTCTTAATTCGTATATGAAATAGAAATAAAAAAAGTATTCATATTTCCTAAAGATGTTTCAATGTTGAGTACAATCATCCAACAGAGAGAAGGTAAACAAATTAAGTTTGTTGAACTCAATCTTGGTTTCTTTTATTATACAGAGGTTATTTTAGATAAAATAGATTTATTAAGAGCGGCTTTCGGTCAGCCAATAATTTTCTCTCTGTCTCAATAATACTATATGAAACGACACTACGTAAAACACTAATAAAAACATGTTTCACTGAATGTTCCAGCTCACGTAGACCTGTATATGACAACTGATTTGACGACAGGACTGATTTACAAGGTCATCACTCGAGAGTACAACAAGACAGACGCCATGACTGCTTGTGCCGTTTTCGAGATGAAACTTTTAGTGATCAACTCTTTAGAGAAGCTCGACCTTGTGCAGCGAGTCAGGTCGTCTAGTAGCATCCTCGGTAAGTTACTGTCGTACGTATCAAGATATCTTATAAGTATTCAAATCCAAATGTGACGTGAAAAATGACGTTTAGTCAGTAAAATGTAACAATAACAAAAATCCTATTAAAGAGATATAAAAGATCCCATTTTGAAATTCATTGGTGATTGGAAAACTTCTATATTACAAACAGTACAGAGACGCTTAAGGGTTAATGGAGGATTGTACGTAGTAGACGGGAACAGGAAATGGTGGGATGGAGGAGACCCGCCTCAGCCTGTCAGTGACAAACTAGTGACTTTGAAAGCTACAGATTCTGCTTATGGAAATTGTTTATCTGTCAGTGGAGATGGACTGAAAAATGACCCGTGTTCCTCGAATTATTTTTCGATTTGTGAACTGTGATTGGAATAACTCTTACTGATACTAAATCAATTTCGCCTCGGACGTAGTAAAACAATTCCAAAGCACTAATTAGTGATTTTGTTAAAACACACAAACTATATAACATAAAGAAACATGTTTGTTGTGTTTCATTTTAGTATTTTAAGTATGGTTTCTACGTTTTTACATCATTGCATGTGTGTACCTTTGGACAAAGAGCTATATAACGGTAATGTTCACTTTTTAGGCTAAACGTACTCAGTACGCAAAGCCTATTGCGACGGCCTTTCAGACAAAATTTACCGATCCTGGCCTTCTCATTGGCTGAAATATCGAAAAGTGTTAGAGCCCTCTAGCGGCAATTTTCTGCGTAAATAATGCCGCGATTTTTCAAATCGCTATTTTAAAAGCATCCAAAATTAGTTTATTTGTTTAATAACAATACGATTACTATATATTTAAAAAAAGACGCACAGTGTGGTTGAACTATTGATAAATTTTGAACAATATATTTTACGGAATTCTCGACATGACGTAAGCGTACAGAACACTGTACGTGCGAGTTGGCGCCATGATAAGAAGCTAGTCTTGGGGCTTGGTTTGAATTATCAACTAACAGCACTTATAAACAAACAAAACTTACAAACAGAACATCAATTTTGCTTTAATCCTTGTCGTTGTGACAAGATCGTCTTAATATATAACATCACTTTACATCATTAGACGTCACAAAATCGGACTGTTCGTCCCACGTGCACACCCGCCGATATGACACTTTTTTTCAGGATTTTCACACCACCGCCATGGCACTTTTTGAAGTTTTTGAAGATAAAAAGTTTGCGCTTGGTAGGCAAGGTACATTTGGTGCTCATGATTTATGAATGATATATTTTTATTACTGTACTGATCATGATGTTGACTTTGTTATAACTTTTATATTTTTTGTCTTTTAGTTTTATTTGATGAAGGTTGACTGTGCTGATTTCTCAATGTTAATGTGTATCAAAGTTCCTTGAAATAAAAATATTCCTTCAAACAAAGCGCGTATAAAAAAAACCCAAAATATTCATGTTTATAATCATCAATTAACTAAAAGGAAATATTTCCATAACATATTTATTCATTTAGCGTGTCATGGTGACATTATCCAATGCATTGGAGATCAGAAATAGTAGTAGCTATAGTGAAAATATTGTAAATTTTGTATATATATGGAAGTCTGGTTTAATCTCATAGAACTATGCCTTTATAGACATAATTAATGGAAGAAAAATCTAACCATGATACTTCAAGGAAGATAGGCATGTAAATACATTTAATGGAATTACTTACACTTTTATCTATCTGAAATGCTGTGTATACCTTATCTACTTTCCTCAACTACAAATATAATTATAATAAGTAAGGACTTTACTTTGCAATACATTCAAAATAAAGAAGTAGGTATAAAGTCATTTCGATTTGTTTAAATCCTCTTATTGACAGGATAGTAATTGCAACATCTTGGGTATTTCAAAGGTTTTATTTAGTAAACTTCATCATAGAGCTATTTATCATTTGGCTTGTTGGCGATAAATATATGGTTGTGTGTATTTTGTTATTTATTTTTTTTTACCTATTTTGATTTATTACATTATTGTCGTCAAATTTGAAATAAGAATTAAAGAAGATATAAAATCGCTTAAAATTGAGAAAAATAGCCTCTGGTTCTCTTATTTTAGTAATTTTTGCATTCCAAAGTGTAGGAGCATGGGGAAAGTAATATATCTTAGCTGTTATTTGTGAACATTTTTCAATACGTTTAGCCTCTCAGTACTTTCATTTATATATTGTGTTGTCTTTGTTGTTATTGATTAAATAAATTCATCATGTTATCATCCTTTGATATTTTATTTGTCTTCTGGTTGAAAGACCGAATAGTAAATATCCGCATTATCTTTAAAGATATGTAGAAATGTAAAATATCAAGGTGTTGGAAATCATATTGCAAAGATTAAAAACTTCCAGTCAATTGATGCTTCCGAGTGTAAGTGATATCTCTGTTTTTATTGATTTCACAAAAGAGTCACTGTCGACATATTTTCTGCAAATGTTGATAATACATTTATTTCAAAGAAGTGATTTTTTTAAAGAACAGGATACAAAATCAATACTGTTATATCTATTAATCTCGTCAGAAAATCAATTATGACTGCCATCGTAAACACAGTTTACTTCGACGATTCAAATGCGTGACGATTTTCTTTAGCTAGCTATAGAGAAATTGGTAATGAAGATCAAGGTGTATTGCCCATATAATGGGAATAGGTTTTTAAAACTGAAAATCTGAAAGATCTAGAACATTTACTATAGTTGAAACCAGTTGCACAGAAGACTGGATAGAAGCGGAACCTATTTACTGAAGGGCCAATGGCATACAGTTTTAGTTAAATCTAAAATTTGAAGTTAAGTCTTCAATTTGAAGAGAATGCAGACAAAGGCGGTAATGTAATTTGCTGGAACCTAAAGAACGCAAAAGGGCACCATCTTACTAGAAGGGTCCCAGAGAGCGCCGCGAGACGGCACCACGCACAATGTAACTAGAAAGAGATTCCCACAGAACACCGAAAGAGGGTGTCATGTATCAGGAAGGGTTCCACAGATTGGCAACAGAGGGCACAATGAAACTTGAAGGGTCCCACAGAACGCCTTCATGGAGCATATTTTTTGTATTGGTTCAGTTTGACAAAAATATTTTGCTTGCTGATAAGAAACAAAACCTATCAAAGGTTTCAACATAATAATAATACAAACTCAAATTCAATAAAACTGTTGTCAACTAGAAAATCGATTTTTTTTTTTTAATCGCATTCTGTATATTTCCAGAAGAAGTGGAAAATGTTAAAAGTTTACGACGCCGGACAAAAGGGGATCGCAAAAGATCACCAAGAGACTTTGTCTCCGGTGACCTAATTAATCCGTGTGTACTCTGCTGCAACATCAAGAATTTGATGTTTTCGTGGGATCTAGTTATGGAAGTCGATAACGATACAGATTGACATTAATTTCTATTGGGTGTTTATATAATCAACAGCCGGTATGTCTGGTAGCAACCCAAAATAGAGCACATGGAATTAGATATTATACTTATGGCGTTAGTGTCAAAGAAAAATTGGGTTAGCTTTAAACCAGGAAATCTGTTATATGTATATATATATATAAAGCATCTAATCATTTTTCTAGAATCCAATTCACATCACGAGATGATTTTTTGTGTGTTGATTTGGTCTTATGTATTAAAAGAAGTTTTACCCTTCCGTATAACTTTCTCCCATCTTATTATTGAATTTCTCTCTCCACAAGATGGCTTTGATTATAAAGATTTACATGCGTTCAGTTATAATCAACTTGGCAACAATCAAACCATATATTTTTCTATCAAGCATACTAAAAACAACTAGGTTTAAACACGTTTAATATAACTGAAAAGAAAAGCTCAACCACATGGTACAAGACATTCACTTTCTTTTTGCTGTCGTTCTTTTGATAATCAAACTTTAAAAGAATGAGTTGCGAGTCGGTTCGTTAACAGGCAGAGGAGTGACGGTGCGCTTTTTATACTTTGCTTTGTCGTTCGGGGTGTTGGAGGAACTGCTAGCTTGTGCCATTTTCTGCATAAAGCAGCAATGACTTATCAAAGCGGCGATAGCCACGCCCAGCCCAAGGGTTGCTATAACAGCTGTGCCGTACTTCAACGCTTTGTCCCACGCTGTAAAAAAGAAGACAAAAGTTGTTAAGAGAATTGTGTACGCATCATGATGATTATGATGGAATTACTTCTAAAGTACACCGATGTGATTATGCGACAGTCGGTGAACATCAACAAAAGACGTAAATTATTTGTGAACTTTACATTTTATATACAAATAAGAATTGGATACTGTATTACTTGGGTCAAATAAGAATTCTAGAATGCACTGATGAAGCTATGCTACTAAATTTTGAGATCAATGGGGCGAGTCAGGAAAATCAAAAGTGATATAAAAAAAATCCTAAATCAAGGTTTTTTGTTTGGGGTCTAACAACTCAATCAAATCAATTTCGTAATTTTCATTGATGTGATATTCGAAGAACAACGTCAAATACATATACACTTTATTCTGAAACTTTTCACTATTTGAATAAACTAAAACCTGACATGCAACTTATAATATACCTTGCGGACTAATAGTCCAATTGCAGTGTCTACCACCTGCAATTTCGAATACCGTGCAAAAGATTAGTGAATATGATCCCTATAAAGATAAGTCATTGTTTCTACAGTTGGGACTCCTATACAAACATAACATTGTCGTATAGACTTTTTATTCGTTTCTGCACTAAGCATTGATGACTTTTCTTTTAAAAAGATAAGAAAAAATGTTAATGTAGTTATAATGTTAACACACAGACAGGAAAATATCTCTGTATGCATATGACATCATTTTCTTGAGAAAAGGTCTTTCTCCACAGACATATAATTGTACTCCATGCATAAGACTTTACAAAACATTGATAAAATGTCGCTTCTATAAAAAAATGCATGTATTCCTGTATTGATAGTTTTACCGAAAAGCTTCATACAAAAACCTAGTACTACTGTTTTCTTCTTTTATTTTATTTCCAATATATTTATCATCGAATTTATGCAAAAAATTAACTTCCTATATGATACAACTTTCATCGAATAAATGTGTTTTTCTAACATGGAGTTTCATTTTCTACACTGAATATTTTTCAGCAGATTTATGATAGAACTTTTTACATGTTGTATATATTATCTTAATTCTGAGTTCGCATTAACTCTACATTTACAATGACTATATACCTAGTCTTAATACTAACCTGGCATGATCTCTATTTGTTACATGTTGTACACCTTATCTTAATTCTGACCCGGGATTATCCCTATTTTTTACAGTGGCTGTATGCCTTGTCTTAATTCTGACCCGGGATTATCCCTATTTTTTACAGTGGCTGTATGCCTTGTCTTAATTCTGACCCGGGATTATCCCTATTTTTTTTTACAGTGGCTGTATGCCTTGTTTTAATTCTGACCCGGGATTATCCCTATTTTTTACATTGGCTGTATGCCTTGTCTTAATTCTGACCCGGGATTATCCCTATTTTTTACAGTGGCTGTATGCCTTGTCTTAATTCTGACCCGGGATTATCCTATTTTTTACAGTGGCTGTATGCCTTGTCTTAATTCTGACCTGGTATTATCTCTACTTTTTACACTGGCTATATACCTTATCTTAATTCTGACCTGAAATTATCTCTACTTTTTACAGTGGCTATATAACTTTTTTTATTCTGACTTGACATTAACTCTACATTTTATAATGATTTTATTCCTTATCTTAATTCAGACCTGACATTACCCCCAAAATCTCCTACAAAGTATAAGAAAACCACGAAATTCAATAACAAATTTAGACGTAAATCTACATGGAAGCGGCTGAAATCAGACGGCATTAGACTTCTGGTTTATACATGTGACACCATGTACACAATACATAGGAGTAAATGATATGTGTATGTATGCCGCGCATGTTTGACTAACGGATTAGTGAGGGTAGGACTGTTAAAAGTGGTCTAAAAGCTTTTTATTGGAAAAGTTCCATGATCATCATTATACTGCCTATGTGATTACATGCCTTGGTCAAATGTAAAAGAGATCACGTAAACTCTGTACATTTGTATTTTTTTACTTTTATGATATTTCCCAATATACTTTAACTCAATATTTTATACGACTCGATGATCCTTTATTTCAAGGATAACTTGATACCATAACATAAAGTAGGAAATTGAAATGTAGTTGATTGAAATTATATTTTACAGTAGGCAAAATGTGTGTGTTTTTAGTGTCCTATGCAACATTTTGTGTCCTTTTCCATTGTTTATAACGGGGATTTTTATATTTTTTTCCATATAAATGTATATATATTTTCTATTAAAAGGTATCTTGCTAAATTGCGAAGGTGTAAAATCAGCTGATAAATACTGAAATAAAGGTATTAAAACATTGTTAAGGAGATTGAATAGTCAGAATGTTGTAGTGGGTGTGTTTACTTACTTGTTTCGTCAGACGAAGTGGATGTCTACAAAGAAACAAAACACACATATTATCAATTAATACCGTTGGCGTAGCTGTAATGGATACTTGTATACTTAAGCATACACATAAATTCCATCGAGATATTTTATTAACTTTTGTTTTTGCTCTACATCGCCCCCAGAACCCCTCTCAGGGCTTTGCCCTTGGACCCTCTCTTGAAAGCATGCATCCCTTAAATATATTTACTACGCCGCTATATACATCAAATTATGATATTATGGTAGTGGGTTTTCAAGTGATATCGACGATAAACTGTCTACGTCATATTATGATACTATGAATCTTATTTAGATAATAGAAGTGGTCTTTCAGTTGATGTCGGTGATAAAATCTTTACACCATCAACGTTATCAGGAACTACGAACTCTATGTTGATCTAACTACAAGATGTATACACTACACACACCTATTAACTTTACAGCTACATCAACACATGTTTGAGTGAGAATATTAGTCAAGTGATACTACTACTTGAAAAAGGTGAAGTTTCCTGTCCTCTTAACATGAACCATTATTGTTACGTTAATTTGTATTGTTTGACTATGTATTTGACAACAATCATAAAAATAGTTACGTTACAGATGTATTATTAACACTGTTTTATTCCAATACCTATCAGGCACTGTCTCTCTCAATTGTATCACGACTTACGTAAATTGAAATAATTTGTTTCTTTGAGGACAAAACAATATTTTAAATGTTCATGAACATCGTACCACTAAAGACTTTCCCTATCTCCAAAACACTATAGGAACACAGCCCTTGAATAAATTTTGACCAATTCGGAGAGTTGTTATCGATCGGTAATTTTTTTTTTTTTTTTTTTTTGAACCAGCAAAAACCAAAAACACCTCTCCCCGCTGCAAAGGAAATTGAACACAATAAGCGCTACTCTGTTTACGTCGACATCTCGCCGCCGTCATTGTTCTCTCTGCTATTGTTGTAGGGTTGGTGAAAAATTGTCCTGTTAGGGAACTAAGAACACTCTTTCATCACTTGCGAACAACCAAGAACGTCGTCTGTTTGTTAACATCGAAATAACACTCACAATAGGACATATCAAACCATCTCCACAGCAAGACAGTGGAGAATCAGGATGTGTTGAGATAGCAAACGGAATATTTCCTCTCCTCTTTATGTTTTATGCTCGATAGATAGCTAGTGATTAATTTAGCTATTACTACTTTTGCTGACACCAATTAAATATGAATCATTGAAGCATATGAAGTATGAAGCATGTCAGTATTGTCTCTATTACATTTAACTCTAAATTTGTATTAAAGGGTACTATTTACTTGTGTGTCTTTTGTAAATCTTATATCAACTGCTAATAGTAAGCCTCTACCAATAATTTACCTTCAGAAAGATTCTGATTAAAATCAACTTTTCGTATCACGTATTACGCGGATTTCAATTAAACAGTTTTTTTTTTTTTTTTTTTGCAGATTTAACTGTTTACAAATCGTCCAGAAAGTTCTGGTTTTTTTGTTTGTGTTTTCTTTTTTTGTTTTTTGTTTTTTGTTTTTTTTTTTAATATTTCTATTTATCCACATTTGTTTAAGTTCTGAAATAACGTATCTAGGAGCAGAAATAATTACAAGACAATAAGAAGCTCTGAAACATCCATCCATCATATCTATAATGACACCATGCCTAAAGAGTTAACAATAGAAAACACAATGTGCTCAATATGTTCAAACAGTGTCCGAAGTAAATAGGAAGTTTTAATTTCAGGAACATAGATATCAAAATTTCTTTATTGTGTTCATCAATAAGTATATATAGTTCGATAACGTTAACATCATGTCTAAATACCACGATATATACATACTATAACGAAAATTTCTTTAAGCTCGCACGTCATGAAGTGAATTCCACTTACACATATCAAGTTTTTTATCATCATTATAGTAAAATATACGATAATCTTTACATAAATATTTATGAGACTGTATAATTGTTGCTTATGTACTTTTTCCGTTTTGTAAACGAGATGTTTTAAGTTCTTTAAACAAAACTTAACGGTATTTCCAATAAATTATAAGGTGACAAATATACTTGGAATGTGATTTATCGAACTCACAAAAAAAGTACAGCGGATATTATAAAATTAAAATTATCTTCTTTTTTTTTCTTTAAAGTAACCAAAAGATTCTCACCGTCGTTTCGCAGCCGAGGGCGAATGTAACCTTGTTGAGGAGCGTGCCGTTATACATTGTGGGTGTCGTGCAAGTGATATCACCATCTAGCGTCACACCTGAAACACACCATAATCATGTTCGCAAGTAACTGTTCATTTTGGAAAGTTGAATAAGATTCGGAGGGAGAAAAAATATGAATGCAATATATCTTCATTTTCATTCTGAGTTAATGTCTTGTTTCATACACCGCAACATGACAAGGAATCCATTTTTTCGAAAAAGAGTACAAAATTTTCTAATTTCTAAGTCTAATTCTGAAAATCAAAAGAGTTTAATCGTAGAATTTTTATATGAAATACATTTGTTCTAAACACGTGATAAAGCAAAGTTGGAAATCATTTTATTGATTTAAATGAAACTAATAATCTTTAAAGGAAAATAATCTCTGAATCTAATTGTAAATTTGTCCGTTTTATATAGATTTTTTTTTAAAAATAAAGTGTCCAATTAGTGAATTACTTACCAGTGTATTTCACCCACTTCACGAGGAATGAAATATCACACGTGCATGCCCACTGATTGCCCATGATTGACAGGGTGCTGAGAGAGACCAAAGAGTCCAAAGCATTGGTATCGAGTGTTGTCAGTTGATTGTTGGCGATATTCAAAGCGGTGACAGCCGTCTTCCCGTCAAAAGCCCCACTTGGTATAGATGTTAATCCTAGATTGTCAAGCGTAATTTTGGTCATAGCCGAACCAGCATTCTCCAGAAACCCGCTCGGAAAGGTTGCGGCCGTCAAAGTTGTACCGGACATTGCAATGGAATTCATTGATAAACCGCTGAATGTTGTGGCTTCAAATGAAGCTATTGTTCCACCGGAAGTTAAAAAATCGACCAGTCCTGATAATCCGGATAAATCTGAGGCAGATAATCCGGCGGAAATGGTGCAGTCTGTTAAACTAAGTTCCGTAATCCATGTCATCGTTCCAGCGAACGCGTTTGCTGCAATCACCAATGACTTACTTCCGGTGCATGTCATGGCGATGCTTCTTTGACCGGCTGGATCGGCACAGTCAGACAGTCCAGAGAAGGCGTTTGCCGGAAGTGTCCCGTCAACATTGTTGAGTGTGATATAACATGGCGAAGTGCTGAAGTCCGCGGATACAAGAGGTGGTATCCAGCTTGAGAAATCACACGTGGCGTACGACCCAGATTCCGTACATCCGGTAGGTGCTGCAGTGAACATAGGAAGCACAAGCAGTAGACCAAGAGAACTGAGATACTGTCTGATAACGGACATTGTTAAATTCCTCTTTTTCCAGTCGAGAAATTTATTTTCATGAAATTAGAATCGAATCTGTTTCTTCGTTAGAACGTCAAAATAAACTTATTTTGAAATTCCTTACATCCTATAAATCAAGGTAAATTATCCACTGAGTGTCGTTACCAACATCCGCCCATAACATGCAGCAAACGGATATGGTTATACTAAATCTTCAAGGATTGGTCTCAAAATATATACATACAAAACGAAATAAATGTTATTTAAACATTGAACAACAGTGTCACCTATATTGAAATTACATTGTCAGAGATATGAGTGTATTTAAATGGAACAGAGCCCCCGTTAATGACAATACAAATATCTACAGATGTATTATGACTTTACAAAAGTCGCACTTAGCCGTGAGTATATATGTACGTGTGGTATTATGTTTTCGGCTCAATTTTCTTTGTACTTGTCACTTTCACATGTCATAGTAGTACAATTGACAACCATAAAGATTGACCACTGTATCAAGCACTCTAGCGACCATGTTTATTTAGAAATCTGTTGTCTGATTGATCACGTGAAATGGTGAAGTAATTTGAACGAATGTGTATTTGACCAACACAATAACTGACATTTCATGCAGGATATGTAGGCACTTAATCCTTGGTGAATCAAGATACTTGGTCTGGAAAATAATGTACGAACTCGTTAAATAATCTCAATCATCAACTCAACATCAGGTAATCAAATCAGTGACGCGTGACCTGGATTTCGGTCAAAAACAGCTATAATGGGAAATGTTATTAACATTATTGTTAATATATTGTACGTAATTAATGTTGAGTTAATACAACAGCTATTGGTCGAGTTGTTTCGAGCGTAGAATACGAAATATAGATATATAAATACAATTCTAGTGTAAAAGGCAGAAAGAAGATGAAGAATTGAAAAAGTGCGTCAAGTGTCAGATTTTACAATTAACATGTATGTTACATGTATATACCTGTGTAAATAATGTGTAATTGTACAATAAAAAACATTATATCAACTTTGTGTGTAGATTTCATGATGGCTTTGATTTCTAATTGTAGGGAAGCAGTATCAGGATTGCAAGTAAAAACATACACGGGTCTATGTGTTTATTTTTTTTATATATAAAAGTATGTAATTATTCCACGAGACTGACTAAAAATTAACTAGAGCTTCATGTAACACGCATAACCGATGTAACTGACCACGACACAGTTTGTACATGTGACCAGACTTAGTCCTTGTAGGCCCTTTTAAACTTTAGATTTCGGAGTTCAATGACCACGGAATTTTAACGCGTTGGTCAGGTAAACAGTATTTTAAGTGATCAAGATGAATTGCTCGTTACAAATTGCTATTGTGAATGTTCTCAAGAAGCACTAGTAATTAATATTTGTCGTGTGAACGACCACTTAAGATCTAGAAAATGTGTGTTGTTGTAGGCATCTGTGTCTGAGTTAGTGCGATAGTGAGAGTAAATAAAACATGACGACTCTGATAGATACTGGGTATTATAAGGTAGTGTTGGAAACACTCGTTTTCATTATTAGACAAGATCACATCGAAAGGCCAAACGGAACTACACTGCACAGGAGGCTAGCACTGACTTAAGTTGGTACAGATGTCCATGTTACTAAATACAATTCTGATTTCACATAACCTGATAAAAAGACTTCATTTCTGTTCTGCAACAGAAGTAATCATTTTTTCAATGCCTCCGAGAAAAAGAGCACCTAGGTTCAAAGGCAGCTAAGGAGTAGTAGGCTTATGAAAATCATTCAAATATAGTACATTTTTTAACTACAAATGTAACTATAATTGGCCACGAGATAGTATTATATATATATAGCTGTATTCGATGATACAGAATGCAACAATATCCGGTGTAAAGGAAATGGCATATGTTTTGTCTTCAGAGTTTGCAATACAGTTATATCGATATCCGGTATACAGAAGAAACTTCGGTACAGTAAAAGCGACATCCGACATAAAAATAACTATATCCGGTGTAAAACACCTGGCCGAGTGTTGAAGGTCACTTGTACTAGTTTTGGGTGAAAGCTTCCTTTTCGAAACTGTACCGTCAGCCAATTTAAAATTCCTGTTTGCCAGAGAGACGTTAATTCGACAAGTAAGCAAATTAAATATACACGCACGTTTACCTTGTAAAATATTTGTCCAACAGGAAGGGAAGCAACCACAGTATGTTTAGTGATTATATTGTCTTTAATTTTAAGAACTATCATTATTATTTGAGAAACAGAAACCAAACTATGATCAGAAAACAGTGTTGACTCATTCATGTTAAACAGATTCTGGTAAGACTAATATTTCCCTAGTGAAGAAAGACTAGGACAAATTATTATATTATCTTTATCTTGATAATACCGTTTCAGATCACTGATGTTGCGGTGCGCACAAACAAACTATAATCAGTACGGTTTTACTTTTTTGTGACCTTGCTTCAGATGAGCAGAACCAATATATTCTGCTGTTACACACAACAACCCACATCCATACTAATTTAGTATTTCATCTAAGAATAAACGAAAAATAATAGAAATGCTAAATAAACGACGCCATGAAATTAGAGTACAAGTATCCTAGTTGAAAACAAAAGGCCCATGGGCCTGAATGGTCAGTTGACTACCTGTGTTAAACGCCTGTATATGACGTACAAGTAACAACAGCAGTGGTACATTTATGTAATGATTTTAAAAGTTCAGAATATTTCAGCGATTATGGTTGAAACAATTTCAGTGTCGACATATACCCACAAAATTTCAGTTCAATTGCATCCTTGAGAAGTTTACAATGTTTCTTTATGAGGGCAGTCATATTGGATTTTGAACTGACCCGAAACACTTCGTCACTGACCACCTCCTCCGGATCATTTAACACACGTTTCAGCTCAGAGAAGCCATAATGAACTTTTGACGAAGCCGAAAAATAACCACCCTTCGTCGGATTTATTTCCTTTACCTCCCCTCAAATTCACATTTCACTGGCACCATTTGAACATGACAAGTTTAAAATGTAATTTTCAAAATGGCAGTCATACTGAATTTCGAAACGACACGAAAAATAACAACACATGCTTTAGTAAGGATCATTTCTAGCAAGTTTTGGGTCATTCCCACAGGTGGAATTGACATGTTAAGAATGTAGAAAATTAAGTACGTCAGACGGTGCATCACGACGGACGAAAACGGTCACCAAAGGTCACCCTGGCCTTTCGAGTCACGTGACCCAAACCCGTAATACAAGTAATGAGGAAGGTGTAAAAAGCGTGGTTTTCTATCTTAGCACCATGTATATACTTCTATATACATACAGTGATTTCATTTACAGCAGTTAACCAATCAATTATCTCACCACAATATTTTGCATTGATTAAAAAATACAATGATTTGTACAGTTTTTAAAAATGGGGGTACGGAAGTCCAGTCATTATTTATCCTATCAGAAATGCAGGTTATTTTCTCCAGTAAACTCTATGGTTTCTACAAAAGCCTTCATTTTCAACTTTATCTTCAAACGTAGCAAACAACAAAAACAAGGTAAGGCTTCCTGTATGATTTTAATGACGGAAAGTTATATATCATGTACACATATATTATGTACATATACACATTTAAGACAACAAATTATAAAAGACACAAATGTACATAAGTATCTAATGGTTAAACATTTACAATCGGTATATATATATATCTAATCTACAAAATAGTTTTAAATTGATATAAACATTTACATGCCGGGAAAGACACTTGTACACAACAGGAAATGTACTTAATATCAGAAATTTTATCTTTAAAGAATAAATATTAACTATAAAGAGTAAGAAAGTAAAGATCTATGTGAATTACAAAAATCCTCTCACCCATCTTTTACGTTATTGGGGAGAAAATAGACTTGGACAATCACAGCAAATACCATGAACTAGATATCATAAACTACAGCAAATTGTTTTCAACATAGAATTCTATAGAGTTGGAGATAAACTTATATAAAAACAAATTATCTTAATAACTATAGAAAAAGAAATAACATCACAATTCATTTACAGAGTATCCTAAGAAAGATCTTATAAATCCAGATTTATTTTTATGGAAGAAAATTTTAAAATGTCAACATTTAATCAGTTAAATTAATTTTATATCATGTATTAATTAATTAAAGTCATTTTTCATCAAATCAATTAATATCATAAATTTTTGAACCAAAATGAAAAAAAAGGCAATAATTTGGCGTGAATATCAACTTTACATACACAATGCCAATCATTATATAAATCATATGAAATGCAACTTATCAGTCTAATGCCAATTTAACCAAATACAACCATTGGATTGTACATGTAATCTCTAGTAGTAGGAAATATAAGGCATTACATCTGGGTCAATATCACGTATAAAATTTAATATAAGACGTTACAGGTAGGGGAAATCACGAGATGTCCGTAGCAGATATATAGACATGGTGTAATCACTAGACTAGAGGTAGGGGAGGCTGAACATTTTAAAGAATCTACAAAGAGCATGTTCACATGTAAGAAATAATTCATCTGCAATTTTCTTTTTCTTACATCATTTTAAAAACCAAATACCATTTAAATTAATTTTTCTAATTCAACAAATCCTTTAAGTTTACAGAGCAAATTAATCAATGACATATATTTCTAATCTTATGTAAAAGAGAAACAAATAAATAAAGATAGAATATGATAGAGAAAGACCTCAAATCAGAGTCAAGCATCATTCATAGGAAAAATATAAAGAAATCCAAATGTATAACACCTAAAAATAAGTTCAGTAATGTTGTTAAAAAACAAGGCACAAATATCTGTCTCACAACTTTTCAAAATTCATATGAAAAACTGAATGTTGTAAGCATTATATTTTCACAAATGAATTTCATTTCAGCCACATAAGTTTCCTGCAAATTATGATGCTCTGTTGCAGAACTGCAAGAAAACATAGCAAGTTTGATCTGCAATATCATGGAGAATTCATGTAGCAATATATACCAACAGTACTATTTTGGATATTGCCATGTGAACATAATCAAAGAACGTGGATTAATTGACATTAACAAAGTTTTAGAAAACAACAAACACAAAGACAATCACTATTTCATGTAACAGCAGATAATACCCTATACCAGGCAAAACTACAGAAAATAAACTCTAACCCCTATTGTGTTGAAACTTGACTTTTCTTTGGTACAGAAACTATACAGTGTAACAGTACATGTTAACATCTACAACCTCTACAAACAAACCCTTACTTTGCTACACTTCTCTAAGATTCTACATTGTATACCATTACCCTGTTTTAATTCTAAAGTTACCTCCCTTATTTTACAAGTAATAACAACCCTTTCAACAAATATTTCAGTCAGCTACTTTGAAGCAGGGTAAAAAAAACAAATAACAAACAAAAACTTGGAGATGTAGGTGAGAACCAATAACCAAATAGCATACACTTGTACTGATTGTATACACAGTCCTAATGACTTAATACTGTCATACCATACAAAATATAATTATCATCAAAATGTCATTTCTAAGTATAAATCTTATGGAAATCCTACAGATAGAAAATCATTATTCTCTTTTATGTTGGATGAAAGACTAAAACAACCTCTAAGAAAATGTAGCAACACATCAAAGTATTTAATAATAGTACAGCAGGGTTGTGGTTGTAAGAGTAGTACTAAATTGGGATTCTTATATAAAACAAGAACCAAACTTAACATATCAGTCAAGAGTCAAACCCAAGTTCATTTTAAAATTCTACATATTTTAAGAAAATTCATTGGCATAGAAATTTGGATGTGAAAATCCTCCTTTCACAATTTATTTAAGCAGTCTTCATATTGCTTCCTCTTATTGTGTAACTGTGTTCTGGCGAATTTGCCAATTCTTGTGATATCAGGTGAACAGATCATTTAGTTATCAAACAAACATAAGTTGCATACAGTAGCTGTGTCTACAACATGTCAAACCTATGTGTCAATGTTTTCCTATCAGATGACATAACAGATGTGATTTGCTTCTTGAAACATTGAAACGTGTTTCTCCCAATCTTTTATATTCAGCATGATATTAAGATATAATTATTTACCTCACAAGTGGCCAGGGAACTGCATTTTATGGTAAGTCATCATCGTAGATTGACCCCTATATCTGATGTTATTGTATGAAGTTAAAACCACACCAGTCTGTTTAAAACAAGCAGCATCTTTGAAACATATTTATGTTTTAAACAAAATGTGGTAGTTTTGGACAATATTTGCAAGTAAAAATTCAAAATATGCAAAAGGATGTTTTGCAACAAGGTCAAATTAAAAAACAAATAATCAATTTCTTTCATTAAGTAAATTTTGAATTTAACATTAACAGAATATAAACAAAAGGTAAACTGCCATAATATCAATGTTTATGAAATAATGAAAAAAACAGCAGAGTTTTGTAGAAAAAAATTTAACAACAAAATATTTCTAGTAAAGCAATCAGATATTATTAATAATCTTCTTTTAGGGGTAAATGTTTTAATAAAACTTTCATAAAACATGAATACATGTATAACAATATATAAAATATGATAAAATACAGTTAAATGTTCTATATCTCAAATTCAAGAAATTGTTGTGTAATTAAAGACAATAACTGTAAACAAAGCAACAAACATTAACACCACCCGTCTATACAACCCATAGTCCATATACAATTGTCACTGAATATGTGGATAGCATTACTTCACTTAGCCATTTTGGAACAGCATAATACTATAAACATACTAGTACATATTTTTACATATTCTTAATTGAATACTTTCCATATTGAAAGTACTGCGCTAAAATACAGCTGCAGTGATTACAGTCTGTGTAAGCTGTTATAACAATCATTATGGACTAGCCCATTCATCTCTGTGCCAAAATTTCATTTTGCCGAATTAAGTACGGTTACAGTATTCATAATGAGGATATTATTACAAAAAGCAGGAACAATAGTAAAACTGGATCGTAAAAAACGATGAGAAACAAACACTATAACGAATAGATTATTCTACACATATTTTCATCTTCATTTAATCATATGATGCAGTAAGGTGACCTTCGACCTCAAATGATGTGAGCAATGACCTTGACTCCCAAAGAATTAGGCACTTCCTGATAATGTCTTCTTTCCCTTCTGTAAAACAAAAGTAGTAACAATTTTCAGAACCATCTCACTGAGATATCAGCTGATTATATTATGGAGTATTGATAAACCTGGTTTTCTTTAGACAAAAATAAATATCATTTAACTCCATCATGGATTTTATCATTAAAACTTAATTTGATTCATAGGTATTCTACTTACATCATCTTTCTTGGTGTTATTCTCAAAGAACATGAAATCCTGAAAGCAAAGAGCAAATATTACTGATCAAGACTGAAATAACAAACAGAACAAAGATTAGTTTACAAAAAAACCCACTGTGACGTAAACTTATTATCTGATACAGTAATCTGCATAACAATCAATGCTGGAGAGAGTGGTAATTTTTTATTTCTAAATAATGGAAATACTTGTACTTCAAGATTTAAAGAAGATGAGAAAAATGAGATTAAAGGTAACAAAATGGCATTTTATGCATCATAAATTGCGGATTAAATGGTTTCTAGATTTGACATTAAGCTTTCAGATGAAACCAGAAAAACATTCTTCCTTTCCACTATGTAGTCTTACAATTAGAAAGACAGCTCCCATTAGGACAGCTTTAACGTTAACATCCAGGTCCAGGGGGAAAGAAATTCCAAAGTTGTCAGCATCTGTAAACACTTCTTTAGCAAGTCCAGACCACTGCTTCGTCACACGACCAACAAATGTCTCCTCATCTGCAGCATAAACCTGTAACACAGCAAGAACGTAAGATTTCATAAAAACTTGTACTGAAACTACATCAGTCTCCATGTTATATGATTTTTGTTCATATTTTTGGCTGATCTTTTCATTTTGATTGATATTATTCTTTTATAAAAGAAAACCTAAAACTATTCAATAAATAAGACCACCATTCTGTGACCCCATCCTATCTAAATCTACAACATTTTTCTAGTTCATAACAATTGTGAAACAAAATGGGGAGGAGCCAACACCAGGTGTAAATAGGTCTTAAGTGGGGTACTTTGTAATGAGCATAGAGGGAGATGAACAAAAATTAAGTAGTATGTTTGGAGAAGAAATTAATCACAACATACTCACACATTACCTGTAAGTGGGTTTTTAATCTCAGTCTACTAGTTTTGCTTCTATAACAGAGGCTTCATCAGGACAAATTTTGCTGGTAAGAACCTCCCTCCTCCCCCCTGAAGTTCTCTTTAGGCCGTAAACATTTGATTGTTAGCTATGACATAATGTACAATTCTCAAGGGTAGGAAAGGGTCTTAATGTTCACACAGTTCAAATTTCTTTAAAACTTTATAGCAGTCATTGAACACAGGTTATTATATCAAATTACTATTCTAACCAACAACTGTTAAAACTTTTAAAGACACATGAACTGTGTGAACTTGAAAGAAATGGAGGCATCCTTTTTACTATCACCACTAACAATTCATATGTTTGGGTTAAGAGTTCTATTTCATCCCGATGTTATGCTTTTCATAATTATATTTCTGACAACTTTTCATCCTTTTTTTCAAGTTTCTAAATTTATTTTAAGTATACATCAAGCTATTGATTAATTTGACAAAAATATAAAGTTTTGATCAGAAATATATTTTAAGTAAGTGATTTAAGATATAATGCTATTTGTTAGTGAAGTCCATTACTCATTCCTGTAATAGCTGATACCACCAAAATATTATTTACAGAAAGACAAGCACCCTTAAAGATACTTGGTAAATATTATCTACAGAAAGACCAGCACCCTTAAAGATACTGGGTAAATATTATCTACAGAAAGACCAGCACCCTAAAAGATACTTGGTAAATATTATCTACAGAAAGACCAGCGCTCTAAAAGATACTTGGTAAATATTATCTACAGAAAGACCAGCATCCTAAAGGATACTGTTTAAATACTATCTATGTAAATATCATCACCATTAAAAATTACTTACATCAAACTCAATATCCCCACACATGTTCCAAGTACAACATGGACCCACAATCCTCAGCACTGTTTCTTCCGCAGCATTCTCAATACGAAAGCGTGGCTTACAACAACTCCATGATTGGGCCACGTATCCAATTACCTTTCCTGGTGGAGCTTCAACAGTCACTTTCTGTAATACAAAATCCCACGATCGTTTATTGGTTGTGTGATATGTTTTCACAATATCATAAATCAATATCATCACAAAATTGATCAAGTATTTCTATATCAGAAAAACATTCTTCACATATAAGTATTAAACTTCTAAGTTAAATTTTAAACAGTTATATATACTATCATTATCATTAAATTATGAACGGCCGTCAACACATAAAATGTCATTAGTGCCATCAACCGGTAAAACACACAGCGATAAACTAAAAGGTATAAGACAAATGCTAAAAATTTTTAATGGTTATATCATCACAAAAGATTAAAATGGTAAGTCTTAGTTTATAATAAAGACCAACATCTTTCAGATAACCTAGAATTTTATTAATCTCAACAGTTTCAAAAAGGGTCTTTAGACTTGTAATGTTACGATGAAAAATATATTTAGGATTCATTATATAGATGTAAAAACATATTTATATCCTTCAAAGTAAAAAGACACACTGTGTGAAAGAAACACAAGTTTATTATAAACCAACCCACTAAAAGTCAAGAATTCATCATTAGACAAAAGGAGACAAAAAGATGTCAAATCTTTTTACAAATATTTATCCGAGAGGTTTACCTGCAGACAACAAGGACACCAACAGGAGGAGCATCTCAATCCACGGGACAAGTGGATGACCTCTTTGTGAGTATTGTCTGTGACCTTTATGTCAAATGGCCGTTTTGATCCACAACAGTTTCGAGTACAGCAACATGTATCTATAAGATAAATATTCATATTAAGGAATTTAATCAAACATATAGTTACTCAAAGCACTGACAGCAAATCAGAGCCAAAGAAATTATTGGTATGGATAAAACAATACAGATACAAAGACAAGGCCATTACAGTGTATCCATCCACCTTTATTACCAAAAAAAGTGGAATTGATAAAGACTCTCATGAGCTCTGTAAACAGTCTGACCAAGAGAGTTCAATAACTTGTGGAAATTATTAGAGAGTTACCTCCCTGAGCTCTGTAAACAGTCTGACCAAGAGAATTCAACACATTGTGGACATTATTAGAGAGTTACCTTCCTGAGCTCTGTAAACAATTTGTCCAATAGAGTTAAATAACTTGTAAACATTATTAGAGAGTTATCTCCCTTGAGCTCTGTAAACAATTTGACCAAGAGGGTTCAATACCATGTAAACATTATTAGAGAGTTACCTTCCTGAGCTCTGTAAACAATCTGACCAAGAGAGTTAAATAACTTGTAAACATTATTAGAGAATTACCTTCCTGAGCTCTGTAAACAATCTGACCAAGAGAGTTAAATAACTTGTAAACATTATTAGAGAGTTACCTTCCTGAGCTCTGTAAACAATCTGACCAAGAGAGTTAAATAACTTGTAAACATTATTAGAGAGTTACCTTCCTGAGCTCTGTAAACAATCTGACCAAGAGAGTTAAATAACTTGTAAACATTATTAGAGAGTTACCTTCCTGAGCTCTGTAAACAATCTGACCAAGAGAGTTAAATAACTTGTAAACATTATTAGAGAGTTACCTTCCTGAACTCTGTAAACAATCTGACCAAGAGAGTTAAATAACTTGTAAACATTATTAGAGAGTTACCTTCCTGAGCTCTGTAAACAATCTGACCAAGAGAGTTAAATAACTTGTAAACATTATTAGAGAGTTACCTTCCTGAGCTCTGTAAACAATCTGACCAAGAGAGTTACATAACTTGTAAACATTATTAGAGAGTTACCTTCCTGAGCTCTGTAAACAATCTGACCAAGAGAGTTAAATAACTTGTAAACATTATTAGAGAGTTACCTTCCTGAGCTCTGTAAACAATTTGACCAAGAGGGTTCAATACCATGTAAACATTATTAGAGAGTTACCTTCCTGAGCTCTGTAAACAATATGTCCAATAGAGTTAAATAACTTGTAAACATTATTAGAGAGTTAGCTCCCTTGAGCTCTGTAAACAATTTGACCAAAGGGTTCAATACCATGTAAACATTATTAGAGAGTTACCTTCCTGAGCTCTGTAAACAATCTGACCAAGAGAGTTAAATAACTTGTAAACATTATTAGAGAGTTACCTTCCTGAACTCTGTAAACAATCTGACCAAGAGAGTTAAATAACTTGTAAACATTATTAGAGAGTTACCTTCCTGAGCTCTGTAAACAATCTGACCAAGAGAGTTAAATAACTTGTAAACATTATTAGAGAGTTACCTTCCTGAGCTCTGTAAACAATCTGACCAAGAGAGTTAAATAACTTGTAAACATTATTAGAGAGTTACCTTCCTGAACTCTGTAAACAATCTGACCAAGAGAGTTAAATAACTTGTAAACATTATTAGAGAGTTACCTTCCTGAGCTCTGTAAACAATCTGACCAAGAGAGTTAAATAACTTGTAAACATTATTAGAGAGTTACCTTCCTGAGCTCTGTAAACAATCTGACCAAGAGAGTTAAATAACTTGTAAACATTATTAGAGAGTTACCTTCCTGAACTCTGTAAACAATCTGACCAAGAGAGTTAAATAACTTGTAAACATTATTAGAGAGTTACCTTCCTGAGCTCTGTAAACAATTTGTCCAATAGAGTTAAATAACTTGTAAACATTATTAGAGAGTTATCTCCCTTGAGCTCTGTAAACAATCTGACCAAGAGAGTTAAATAACTTGTAAACATTATTAGAGAGTTACCTTCCTGAACTCTGTAAACAATTTGTCCAATAGAGTTAAATAACTTGTAAACATTATTAGAGAGTTATCTCCCTTGAGCTCTGTAAACAATCTGACCAAGAGAGTTAAATAACTTGTAAACATTATTAGAGAGTTACCTTCCTGAGCTCTGTAAACAATCTGACCAAGAGAGTTAAATAACTTGTAAACATTATTAGAGAGTTACCTTCCTGAGCTCTGTAAACAATCTGACCAAGAGAGTTACATAACTTGTAAACATTATTAGAGAGTTACCTTCCTGAGCTCTGTAAACAATCTGACCAAGAGAATTCAACACCTCATACTTGTTATTGGTCTCTATTCCGGTCACCGCTGTAAAATAAAAAAAAAAAAATTTTGTTACATTTGCTCTTAATGGTGAAATATTGTTCTTCTATAAAAGGCAAGTGACAACTTTCAGAAAATGATGCTTACAATGATTTCTGTAAACAAAAAATTATTAAGAGTACACTGTAAGTATACCTTAATTAATAGTTTGTGGGCACTCACTCTTGTTAAAGATATGATAGTAATTCCACAATCAAACATATTACCTGTATTCACTAGTTAGAAATCTAATTGTAGATTATAAATAGGGCATATGTACTTTAACAAGGTACCAGCTTACCTTCAAAGCCTTCCACCTTCTGTTTGACAAGCAGCTGATCTACTTGGGACAAGTACTGCAGCCCTGGAGGGCAGTTGTCTGGCGGCTGTTGGGGACCAGCTGCCCAACCCCCAGGACCTACTGGAGCAGCCCCTGGGGCCATAGGCGTTGGTGCTACACCTTCAATACAAATTTTGATATGTACATTTTCATATCAGTCATCTTTTTAAAAAGTTAAACATAGGTGTACAAGCAAGTATGAATTTTACAAGACTTACAAGAGTATATTGTATTACTGTGAACTTTCAATATTAAAAGACTCAGAATAGTATATGTTAACCCGAGACAACTCTAGTCTATGAATTAATTTTTGCAGTTATTAATGATTAAGAAGTGAAGCAGAAAACACTTACCAGTCAGTAAAGTTTCAACGAAACTCTCATTATCCTTATATGTAATATATATAAATTGATTATCATGTAAAATAACAAGGCCTGACCACCTTATCAATAGACTTATCCTTGGGACTGGTTGTTTTTCTATGGGTGGGGCCTGACCACCTTATTACCACTGTACTTACCCGCTGGGACCAATTGTATTTCTATGAATGATGCCTGACCACCATTGACTTACCCCCTGGCAATGGTTGTTTTTCTATGGGTGGGGCCTGACCACCATTGACTTACTCCCTGGCAATGGTTGTTTTTCTAAGGGTGGAGCCTGACCACCATTGACTTACCCCCTGGCAATGGTTGTTTTTCTATGGGTGGGGCCTTGACTTACAATGGTTGTTTTTCATTGACTTTGACTTACCCTGGCAATGGTTGTTTTTCTAAGGGTGGAGCCTGACCACCATTGACTTACCCCCTGGCAATGGTTGTTTTTCTATGGGTGGGGGCTGACCACCTTGGACTTACCCCCTGGCAATGGTTGTTTTTTATGGGTGGAGCCTGATCACCATTGACTTACTCCCTGGCAATGGTTGTTTTTCTATGGGTGGAGCCTGACCACCATTGACTTACTCCCTGGCAATGGTTGTTTTTCTATGGGTGGAGCCTGACCACCATTGACTTACTCCCTGGCAATGGTTGTTTTTCTATGGGTGGGGCCTGACCACCATTGACTTACCCCCTGGCAATGGTTGTTTTTCTATGGGTGGGGCCTGACCACCATTGACTTACCCCCTGGCAATGGTTGTTTTTCTATGGGTGGAGCCTGACCACCATTGACTTACCCCCTGGCAATGGTTGTTTTTCTATGGGTGGAGCCTGACCACCATTGACTTACCCCCTGGCAATGGTTGTTTTTCTATGGGTGGAGCCTGACCACCATTGACTTACTCCCTGGCAATGGTTGTTTTTCTATGGGTGGGGCCTGACCACCATTGACTTACCCCCTGGCAATGGTTGTTTTTCTATGGGTGGGGCCTGACCACCATTGACTTACCCCCTGGCAATGGTTGTTTTTCTATGGGTGGAGCCTGACCACCATTGACTTACCCCCTGGCAATGGTTGTTTTTCTATGGAGCCTGGTAGACAGTTTGATGACTACATGGTCACCATCATCTTATAACACAAACAGCAGTGTATTATATTAGAGTCAGACAGTTTGATGACTACATGGTCACCATCATCTTATAACACAAACAGCAGTGTATTATCATTTATAACACAAACAGAGTGTATTAGAGTCAGACAGTTTGATGACTACATGGTCACCATCATCTTATAACACAAACAGCAGTGTATTAGAGTCAGACAGTTTGATGACTACATGGTCACCATCATCTTATAACACAAACAGCAGTGTATTAGAGTCAGACAGTTTGATGACTACATGGTCACCATCATCTTATAACACAAACAGCAGTGTATTATATTAGAGTCAGACAGTTTGATGACTACATGGTCACCATCATCTTATAACACAAACAGCAGTGTATTATATTAGAGTCAGACAGTTTGATGACTACATGGTCACCATCATCTTATAACACAAACAGCAGTGTATTATATTAGAGTCAGACAGTTTGATGACTACATGGTCACCATCATCTTATAACACAAACAGCAGTGTATTATATTAGAGTCAGACAGTTTGATGACTACATGGTCACCATCATCTTATAACACAAACAGCAGTGTATTATATTAGAGTCAGACAGTTTGATGACTACATGGTCACCATCATCTTATAACACAAACAGCAGAGTATTATATTAGAGTCAGACAGTTTGATGACTACATGGTAACACAAACAGCAGTGTCTTATAACACAAACACAAACAGCATGTATTAGATTCAGACAGTCACATGACAGTTTGATGACTACATGGTCACCATGGTCATCATTATAACACAAACAGCAGTGTATTATATTAGAGTCAGACAGTTTGATGACTACATGGTCACCATCATCTTATAACACAAACAGCAGTGTATTATATTAGAGTCAGACAGTTTGATGACTACATGGTCACCATCACATAACACAAACAGCAGTGTATTATATTATAACACAAACAGAGTCAGACAGTTTGATGACTACATGGTCACCATCATCTTATAACACAAACAGCAGTGTATTATATTAGAGTCAGACAGTTTGATGACTACATGGTCACCATCATCTTATAACACAAACAGCAGTGTATTATATTAGAGTCAGACAGTTTGATGACTACATGGTCACCATCATCTTATAACACAAACAGCAGTGTATTATATTAGAGTATTTGATGAGTCTTATGACTAACACATAACACAAACAGCAGTGTATTATATTAGAGTCAGACAGTTTGATGACTACATGGTCACCATCATCTTATAACACAAACAGCAGTGTATTATATTAGAGTCAGACAGTTTGATGACTACATGGTCACCATCATCTTATAACACAAACAGCAGTGTATTATATTAGTCAGACAGTTTGATGACTACATGGTCACCATCATCTTATAACACAAACAGCAGTGTATTATATTAGAGTCAGACAGTTTGATGACTACATGGTCACCATCATCTTATAACACAAACAGCAGTGTAGTATCAGACAGTTTGATGACTACATGGTCACCATCATCTTATAACACAAACAGCAGTGTATTAGAGTCAGACAGTTTGATGACTACATGGTCACCATCATCTTATAACACAAACAGCAGTGTATTATATTAGAGTCAGACAGTTTGATGACTACATGGTCACCATCATCTTATAACACAAACAGCAGTGTATTATATTAGAGTCAGACAGTTTGATGACTACATGGTCACCATCATCTTATAACACAAACAGCAGTGTATTAGAGTCAGACAGTTTGATGACTACATGGTCACCATCATCTTATAACACAAACAGCAGTGTATTATATTATAACACAAACAGAGTCAGACAGTTTGATGACTACATGGTCACCATCATCTTATAACACAAACAGCAGTGTATTATATTAGAGTCAGACAGTTTGATGACTACATGGTCACCATCATCTTATAACACAAACAGCAGTGTATTATATTAGAGTCAGACAGTTTGATGACTACATGGTCACCATCATCTTATAACACAAACAGCAGTGTATTATATTAGAGTCAGACAGTTTGATGACTACATGGTCACCATCATCTTATAACACAAACAGCAGTGTATTATATTAGAGTCAGACAGTTTGATGACTACATGGTCACCATCATCTTATAACACAAACAGCAGTGTATTATATTAGAGTCAGACAGTTTGATGACTACATGGTCACCATCATCTTATAACACAAACAGCAGTGTATTATATTTGATGACTACATGAGTCAGACAGTTTGATGACTACATGGTCACCATCATCTTATAACACAAACAGCAGTGTATTAGAGTCAGACAGTTTGATGACTACATGGTCACCATCATCTTATAACACAAACAGCAGTGTATTAGAGTCAGACAGTTTGATGACTACATGGTCACCATCATCTTATAACACAAACAGCAGTGTATTAGAGTCAGACAGTTTGATGACTACATGGTCACCATCATCTTATAACACAAACAGCAGTGTATTATATTAGAGTCAGACAGTTTGATGACTACATGGTCACCATCATCTTATAACACAAACAGCAGTGTATTATATTAGAGTCAGACAGTTTGATGACTACATGGTCACCATCATCTTATAACACAAACAGCAGTGTATTATATTTGATGAGTCAGACAGTTTGATGACTACATGGTCACCATCATCTTATAACACAAACAGCAGTGTATTAGAGTCAGACAGTTTGATGACTACATGGTCACCATCATCTTATAACACAAACAGCAGTGTATTAGAGTCAGACAGTTTGATGACTACATGGTCACCATCATCTTATAACACAAACAGCAGTGTATTATATTAGAGTCAGACAGTTTGATGACTACATGGTCACCATCATCTTATAACACAAACAGCAGTGTATTAGAGTCAGACAGTTTGATGACTACATGGTCACCATCATCTTATAACACAAACAGCAGTGTATTAGAGTCAGACAGTTTGATGACTACATGGTCACCATCATCTTATAACACAAACAGCAGTGTATTAGAGTCAGACAGTTTGATGACTACATGGTCACCATCATCTTATAACACAAACAGCAGTGTATTAGAGTCAGACAGTTTGATGACTACATGGTCACCATCATCTTATAACACAAACAGCAGTGTATTATATTAGAGTCAGACAGTTTGATGACTACATGGTCACCATCATCTTATAACACAAACAGCAGTGTATTAGAGTCAGACAGTTTGATGACTACATGGTCACCATCATCTTATAACACAAACAGCAGTGTATTATATTAGAGTCAGACAGTTTGATGACTACATGGTCACCATCATCTTATAACACAAACAGCAGTGTATTAGAGTCAGACAGTTTGATGACTACATGGTCACCATCATCTTATAACACAAACAGCAGTGTATTATATTAGAGTCAGACAGTTTGATGACTACAAGGTCACCATCATCTTATAACACAAACAGCAGTGTATTAGAGTCAGACAGTTTGATGACTACATGGTCACCATCATCTTATATCACATCCAGCAGTGTATTAGAGTCAGACAGTTTGATGACTACATGGTCACCATCATCTTATAACACAAACAGCAGTGTATTATATTAGAGTCAGACAGTTTGATGACTACATGGTCACCATCATCTTATAACACAAACAGCAGTGTATTATATTAGAGTCAGACAGTTTGATGACTACATGGTCACCATCATCTTATAACACAAACAGCAGAGTATTATATTAGAGTCAGACAGTTTGATGACTACATGGTCACCATCATCTTATAACACAAACAGCAGTGTATTAGAGTCAGACAGTTTGATGACTACATGGTCACCATCATCTTATAACACAAACAGACAGTTTGATGACTACATGGTCACCATCATCTTATAACACAAACAGCAGTGTATTATATTAGAGTCAGACAGTTTGATGACTACATGGTCACCATCATCTTATAACACAAACAGCAGTGTATTATATTAGAGTCAGACAGTTTGATGACTACATGGTCACCATCATCTTATAACACAAACAGCAGTGTATTATATTAGAGTCAGACAGTTTGATGACTACATGGTCACCATCATCTTATAACACA